CTGCCTGGGTCGTTTTTAGAAGTGTAGCGCTTTCACGTGATGTAAGAGGAGACATTATGTTTCTATGCTTGCCCGCTGTTGCGAGAGTTGTAATTTGAACGAAGAGACAAAAAGAACTGAACGTCTTTCCTCTCAAGATCAACTAAAAGATCAGATGATTATGTAAAAAGATATCCTCGATGGAGTACAGTGGAAGATGGACGAATGATGTGTCACTCTGTTGGACGAAAGAAGTTAAATTTGATTATCATGTAATTTATGGGTCCAGGTTTTCGCAATCTGAAGTGATCATGCCATTCTAAAGAACCCAAAAAGCAGAATAGAAGGTAAGTAGAATATATATATATATATATATATATATATACACTCGCTTAAAAGGCCGCCCTATCGGTCGGCATTTAAGCTAGCTCCTGCGGAGGGCTCTTGTTTGGGCTTTCATCACAATAGGAAGGGAGGAGTAGATGCGATAGGCAACAATAAACTACAGAAGAACTCAAAACTGATCGCTGCATTTAAGTATTGCATTAATATTTAAGCTTACCTTTTAAATGTTTAATGATAATTCTTCTGTCGACATTTAATTTAAAGACAATTTACGTAGGTCCATACTTTCAGTACAACTGCTATTTTTATTTCATGGGTGACTTTCGCTGAATTTCGCAATTAATTTTGATTATTCACAAATTTCTTTCCAAGTTATAAAAACTTTTATCGTACAAAACAATTCGTCGCAAAAAAAAAAAATCACGTAAAAAATATCATCGAAAAAATCGCAATGAAAACTTGAGAATCCAAAATTTCAGAATTACGGGTCTGGATCCATACCGGAATTTTTTAATTTGCTCACGGAGCCAGTTTGATTCCAAAATGGTATGATACATTGGGTTACGGCTTCTAGAAGTAAAGTTGAAAAAGTGTGACACAGTGACATTCGCATGATATATATATATATATATATATATATATATATATATATATATATATATATATCGGTATCACCCCATGAAGGCAGTAAAACCACCATGACACAAAGGGTTCTCAAGTTATTTGTCAATCAAATTTTATTTCTGACCAACGCATACAATAATAATTATAAACGATTTCAGAAACATGATTTATTAGTGAAAAAAAAAAAACAAAAGAACATCACTTTATCCTGAATAAATTCACTATTCTGAAAGAAGACCGCCTGAATCCTAAATAAAGTTATAATAAATAACCAGGAAACATGAAATATATATATATATATATATATATATATATATATATATATATATATATATATTAGTTTATGCAAACTTAGGTAATCCGTATGGGTAGACCCGAGGAGGATGATATCCAGAGAGCTCAATGTAAAATTCAGAGCAGATATGTTTGAATAAAAGACAGACCACGTTAAGATTCCATGTAATAAGCTATTTCACCATAACCCCTTTAACAGGGTTCTGGATCATCAGACTTTACTTCCAAAAGCTGAAATGAAAAATGAAAAGAACGTTTTTGACGGACCTCATCAAGTATACGTAAAATTAACGAAGTGAGGAAGTGAGGTGGGAGAGAGGATATGAGTGTGTCATATGTATCATTTCAATTTCCTATTTCTAGCCCCAGTGTATCGGCTAGATGTTGCTCAAATTTAACACGTCTCGTCTCTAGATATAAGACCGACATTAAAGGAAGAAGCTACAACAACCCCAATCAATTACATGACAGGTTTCATTCAAATTTTTGGACGCTGTTAATTCGCGTTACTTTAACATATTGCATATTTATATATATATATATATATATATATATATATATATATATATATATATTTCTGCTAGTCTTTGAGTGAATGATATCTCATGGAAAGTTCTAAATGAGCTTTTTTTTTATATATAATTCTTTCTGATTCTCTGAGTTATGTCCCTTTGTTATATCACATTGTTGATTTCTTTACTTGAATTCTGCTTTCTTTATTACCCTAATCTCTGCTTGTGGGTTTCTTGATGCTATCATATGAACTAATGCCTTCAGTGCTTGTATGTTTTACTGTTTCCAGGTTATTTACTTAGTACAGGTAATAGATCCGTTGGTATATAATCCAGGTGCATCCTAGTAATATCAGATATTAAAACTGATCCACAGAGAGAGCTCAATGTATTTATTATAACAGAGCATATATTTTTTACGGCAAAAAATCCAAAATAACCTCATGTTGGTATAGTCTATTTTAAACTAGCAGTGTTATGTGCCAGCTATCCTCAGCCCAAGACTGCCTGGAAGTAGTGTTTTTCGAATTGGGTTTAGATAGCGTTGGTGAAAACGTATGGGCCACTTAAGAGGACGTCTCAGTTTAGATATGGAGTCTGAGTGGATGATCGGGAGATGAGCCGGGGTGGGGGTTTATTTATGGCTTTAGTTGTATGTAAATGAATTTAGGTTCCTGCTACTGGTTTATATTATTAGGTGGTGGGGAATTTAATACACACATATACACAAACATATATATATATATATATATATATATATATATATATATATGCGCGCACACACAGAGCCCAGGTTGCGGATTTAGTATATTTTTACATTTTAGATATGCTTGGTTGAATCGTAAAACCTGAACTAGTGGGTTATATAGAAATGACGGACTCATCTTCTTCCCCAATAAACTAAATAAACGTATGGGGCCACTTAAGGGGACGCTTTAGTCTAGATAAGGAGTCTGTGTTGATGACCGGGAGATGAGCCTGGGTTGTGAGTTTATTTATGATCAAGGGCTTTAGTCGTATGTAAATGAATTTAGGTTCCTGCTAGTGGATTATATTATTAGATTATTAGGTGGTTGGGGATTTAATACACACACATAGACACACATATGTGTACATATATATGTGTGTACATACACATACACACAGAATATATATATATATATATATATATATATATATATATATATATATATATATATACATACACCCACATTAAGTTTCAATTGTAATATTAGGAATGCCGAGCTGTACCCGAAATTTTTAACTGGAAGATATTAAAGTAAAAATTTAATCACAGGTGGTTATATCAATTGAGGCTGTTATTTTTTGATTGTAAGATCTATATTCTTGAAAGCATGGAGCCGGAAGGGAGTTCCACAAGCGAGAAGTGCTAAAAAAGAAACTCTCAGCATAGGACTTACGGCTACATCTAGCCAGTTCAACTCTAAATTGATGATATGTCGACGTCAACCTAGTACTGTGCTAAAATTAAAAAAGTCTAGGTACCACAGTGAAGAGCTTATCCGAACAATTTCCATGAAAGCATTTATAGAAAAGGCACTGAGAGGCAACCTTATTTCGGTGGGAAAGTGACTGAAGCTAAGCGGCCAGATCAAAAGCAATAATATTACTGATTCTGCTTTGAATTTTAGCAAGGAGCTCAAGGTAAATAGTAGAGGCACCGGGCCATATGTGGCAACAATATGCTAACCATATATATATATATATATATATATATTGTCAATTAATATTAAAAAAAACATTGTCGATGAACAAATTAGACGATCTAATAGAAATATTACCATAAAACAAAAAGAACGTAATACTTATTGAAATAACCGTAAACATTTCAACCTACTATACCGTAATCAAATACACTCTCACTACAAACAAAATGAAAAATCCTAAAAAAATCTAAAAAGTACTAATATATCCGGCACTGATCCCATTAAAAAAGTAAAACTAATTTTATACTATACTAAAACCAACTTAATCATCCGCAGTAACTCTTCTCCATCAACGAATGTTTTGCAAAAGACCAACATTGTATATCAATTTAAATGTCCTTTGGAAGATTGTATCTTTGACAAAAAGTAAATATATATGTTGGCTTCACAAGAACAGCATTATAGAAGAGGCTTACATTACACATAACAGATATAGCCTAACATCTAAAGGAACATTCCTGTCTACATTCACAATGTAGAGAAGTAATAACTAGCAATACAAATATACTCTACGATTAATATATATATATATATATATATATGTGTGTGTGTGTGTGTGTGTGTGTACGTATGTATAATATGTATATATGTATGTAATTCTATATATATTTTATATATGTGAGGTGATTATTGGAAAGCGCTCAATATCAGTGATAGAACTAACATATTTTTTATATCCAATATATATATATATATATATATATATATATATATATATATGTGTGTGTGTGTGTGTGTGTGTGTGTGTTTCTTCCTTGGACTTCATTACTCACTAACCAAGCTCGAGAAAGAAAAACTGTTCACCAAGCGCTTTAGCCTTACGAACTTAAAAAAGCTGCTTCTTTTTACCTTTTGTTCTAACTTCTTTCTTGTTCGTTTCTGGTTATGTGGAAGGTTGTTTTACGCATGTTAGCGCGACAAAAGAAAAGAATATTGTGATGCCACTGGTATCAGTCGATAACCTCGCCATGTGCATTCTGGTTTCAGCGAAGAACGGATGGCGTTACACCAACTTGAATAATAGTGACTCACAAAAGTATAGAAAGTAGAAAGATGCCCGATCCTTCTCCGTTTGATAAATGCACCACGTTTTTTTCACTACACTTTTCTTTCTTCTCATCCTCATCCTGACATGAGAATATCGGCTTCCCCTTTTGTTTTTAGCGTTAAAGCCTACATTTCTGGAAACAGATAGCCCCACTCCCAACCACTACAACCACTTCGCGTTGCATGCTCCTCTTGTCGCGTTGTTTCCAGCATCTATCATTTGGCTGACACACTTCCATTTCCCTCCAGCCCCCCTGCAATCCCCAAAGTACGGTCCATTCTCAGTCATAATAAATTCTCTTTGGATTCTTTTCGTATTCAAACACCATTACACTTTTTTTTTCAGCTGCTCAATTTGCTGTTTTGTTATTTTCATTTAAGCAAATTTTCAACATAAAACTGATTTTGAAAATTCATATTTTTTACTTTTTGTGCTATTGAATCATTTTATTCTCCCTATTTGGAATTTTTAGGCCGTATCACGTTGAAACACCGGTTCTCGTACAATCACCGAAGTTAAGCAACCTCGAGCCTGGTCAATACCTAGATGGATGACCTCTTGAGAATACCAGGTGCTATAAATGTTGGATGTGTGGGTGGTGTAATGGATGACGGGTCGGAATTGTTAATCGGAGAACCGAGTTCCAATTCTAGTCAGATTCATTATATTCTGGGCAATATCCTCACAGGTGAAAGAGTGAGATTTGATGCAACAGGAATGTGGTTCTGCAGAAGGATGCTGAGAATATTATGAACTGAATATATGAGAAACGATAGAATATGGAAAGAAAAAGGATACTTATACTTACAATCAGAAAGAGACAATTGACAGTTCTGTGGCACATTATGAGAAAATAGGGTTTGGAGAATTTGACACTGACAGGGTATACTGAAGAACAGAAAGGAAAGCAGAAAATAACCCACCTAACAAGCTTGTGGAAATGGTTGACAGAAGAGAGAGAGAGAGAGAGAGAGAGAGAGAGAGAGAGAGAGAGAGAGAGACAAAAGACAAATCTTACAAAGAGCTACAAAAGACAGGAAACTCAAGGAATACGGCACGTAGAGGAAGTAGTTGTATTCACTATGAAAATATTGTTGAGACCAAGAAGTATAATATTGTGCATTTAGATCAGTGATCGGTCCGTGTAAAACCTTTTGGAAGGAATGAATATGTGGCATATGCGTTCATATCAGAGGGTTACCAGTGTGGAGAGGTGGTAGGGTAATTATTTTATTGGAAAGTTTGGGAATAAAAGAAGGTTTTAAAATAAATAATATATTTTTATTTATTTTCTTTAGAATAATGAGTGAGTACTTTGGTATTCGGCATAGCAAAAAAGTTCCTTAATAATGCAGATATTAGTAGCAGTCTGAAGGAATGTTCGTTTGTGATTGTTTTGAAGTAAGACCACGATAGGGATAGTAGTAATATCAGAAATTAGGTCGATGTCAATCTACTGTGTTCTTTTCTTTCCAGAAACAGGGCAGAAATGTCAGTAGCAGATGACCTCTTGATTGCTTCTTCACGCGTTACGCATGGCTGCGTTCTGTTGTTCTAGTGTCGTTCTGGTCTTTCTCTTCTCCGCGTTCCATCTACCTCTAGGCTAGAAGTTTCAGGATTTTATATTTTTGAATAGGCTCGAGAATTTGGCGCGAACACCAAAAAGTCTCTTTGTATCAATTTTTCTGATTGTCCAAATTATTTTATTTTCCAGCGTTCCTTTCTTTTACATTTTTTTTATAGCGGAAGTTATGCGTAGAGGCTCCCTGATTTTAGATATTTGTCAGTCCTGCAAACTTCCGGTCTTTTTGGCCGGGTTTAGTCTTTTCTTCTTCCTCTTTTTATTTGAGGCTTGTCTTCACATAGGTTGAGAGAAGTATAGAAAGAAACTTAGAGAAAGAGAGAAAGAAGGGTTTTAAAGGAAAGCGTAAATACCTTATTTTAATTTGAATTCTTTTTAGTTTTATATTTTATTCTTATCGGGACTCCATACAAATATACTGCCTTCTGGAAATTTTGCCATTCAGATCTATAAATACAAAATAAATAAAAACAAAAGCAAGAATCAATGAATTATACACTAAGTTGAGCGATAAAAAAAAGTATGAAAATATTAGCAGGAATATCTCGTAAAACAAGATGATTCTTTTTTTTAGAGATTATCACCCAAATCTGTTTTCTTCTAGACAGTTACACGCCTTTGTAAATTTAGGCTTTTTTCCTTTTTTTTTTCTTTTAGATGATCCACTTTATTTTCTATTAACTTTTAATCTGATCCAATTAAATCATCAGCAACATTGATTCTATTCGTGTTTTCAGCAACGTCTTCTGCTTCCGCAGCCGTCACACCGAAAATATAATGACTAGCGACATGTATTTTCTTGCGGTGTGTGTGAGCGGGCGAGGCGTGGGAGAGAACGAAGAGGAATAGAAAATGTTAAGAACAGATACACAGAAAAGTAAAGTTAAACGGAGAGGTTGCAGAGATTTTCTCTTTTTAATGAGGTGAACAAAAGTCATAGTTTAAAAAAATAACGAAACAAAATAAAAAAGAAAAGAAAGTTACACATAGAAAAACTGATATCACGTCGGCGTTATGCTTCGCACTGCAACTTTTAATGTTTGCTGCTTAGAGCGCAAAGTTAGCTGAAGTAAAAACAGCTTTATTGCTATTTTTATTTTTCAGTCCTTGTAGTTTTCTCAACATAAACCTTCTCTTGTGGTTTTTTGTTCTCTTAAGAGCCACGAAAGACATCTTTCCAACAGACCGCTTGTTGCTTTTCTTAACGTCTCTGAGATTCAATTGCTGCTCTTTTGAACCCGTTTACCAAGACTTTCCTCTTGGTAACACCGGTTTTACCGCGTAACACCCTTCTACAACTTACATTATTTACATTATTCGGACTATTGTCCTCATCTTTGTCGCCATATTTATTACAACGTTTCGGCCGTTGTACGCTCCGGCCTTCTTCAGGTGGTTGGAATGTCGAACTTAACCCATTATTTCGCTCACTGGGGTAGACTGTTCTAGTTCCACGTGTCATGTTTGATGGATGTCAGTTATCAGTTATCTCCTGTTAATTTCCCTCTGAAAGTTCTCCACTGCCTTAACCGAGTCTTGAACTCACACTTTTTGGGTCCTTTCACTGCATCTAACCAACGCCTTTATCCATGTGTCCTTGAGGACATCTGTGTATGAATTTCTGGGTATTATAAACCATGTGTTCAGTAACCATTTTTACCAGTGCCTGTATTGTAATTTTTTGCTGTTATCATTGCATGTTTTTACCAGAGCTCATATTGCAACTTTTGTTGTTATTATCGGCACTCCTTATTACTGGTTCCCATATTGTATTCATTTCTATGTTTGGTCAGCTCAGGAGATTTTTGTGGCCTAGCATATGTGCTGATTCCTTAAGTTTACGAATTTTCTAATGGTGTTCCTTGTCTATGATCTCAATCTGATCCCACAGAGGGCGGTGACCTCCCTTCTCTCTCCATATGTGGTCAGCCACGCCTGATTTTTCCACTTCCCCTCGTGTTACAGCTTTCTGGTGTTCTTGAAGCCTTTCCTTAAGGGGGCAGCCTGTCCCCCCCCTTTATATTTCTTTCCGCAGCTGCACGGGATAGCGTACACACAGTCTTTAGTCATGTTCTCTTCTATGGTGGGAGTCTTACTCGGGAGAGATATCTGTGAAGTGTCATCAAGCTTTTGAAGGTTGTCCTGATGTTATATGGACTACAGATCCTTTATATTTTCTCTGATAACCCCTTCACATAAGGCAGGCAGACTGTTTTCTAAGTGTTGTTGTCCTCCTCTTGTACCCGCCTATCCCAGTTTTGGGGGGTTGCTGCTATGTACATAGGGTAGTTGTTACGTTGTAGGGTACTACTTATACTGACCAATTCTTTATCTACAACTTACGGTAGGTTAGTATGTAGGTCTCACACTTTTAATGTTGAAACAGTTAAATGTATCCGCCCCTTGTACTCCAACAGTTTCTTTTCTCACACATCTTACGTGTGGAACTCCCTTCCGTTTCCTGATAATTACAATCTTCAAAAATGTAAATGCAACGTCAATCGCCATCTTCTATCTTCTTGAATCCCGTGTACCGCCGCCTTTTTTACCCTATACAAAGCCCACTCAAGGTAGAGAGTTACTGAAGATTCTTGTTGTGTGAGCGTTAAGAGGCACAGTTTACGCAGATGTATGGGAAAGATAACATTCAATCCTAGACATGAAAATGTTAAGATTGTAATGGTCGGGAAATCATCCTCCTGGAATTCTGTTCCACAAATCAACAGTTGTTGGGAAGAAGTTGTTTGAGTAGAACTTACTCCTTACTAGAGGAATACGATGGGAATCTACGCGCCGTGGTGGTCGTTGGCTGGGCCGCTTAGAGTTAAAGGAACTAAGAAATGTAACTCTACTGAACATTTTCCATTGTAATAGCAAGAGGTTTGCAACGTTTCGTCTTTGAAAAAGCGATTGTAAGGTGGAAAATAATTAATCGCCTACAAGACCTCCTAGACACTTGAACTCAAGACTGAATAGTGCAGACTGGCCAGTTCCGATTCAGATATGGCAGCAGGACACCATTTTCACCCTGGTCTGATTCTTGTAAAGGTAGAGCATATCAGGAGGAGTAAGGTACTTACTGGAGCGAACTATTTTCCAGTATATTTAGTGATGGATCGTATATACGAGTTCCACTTGAGGTCTGATGTGAATGAACTATTTCAACATTCCTTACTGTCAATGATACATATCCACTTCTCCAGTTAATTCTCATTCATGTGTTATGGCGACCCTAACTGAGACCGTCCCAGTAGAGGGAAATGACAAATTTGTTAGATTAAATCTCAAAGATTCAAATTAATATTTTGTTAATGCGTGTTGTTTTGCTTGTGAAAGTGACAATTTATTTTCGGTGTTTGATGACTTAAAATCAGAGTAGTCATCAAGGAATTATTATTGCATTCAGAATAAACTAATGTTTCCTTTGTTTAAAGATTACCAAAAGCATATCTGACTTTACAAATAACAATAATTATTTCAATAAGAAATGAGAGTACGGAGTAACATTATAATTTAAAGCAAGCAATAAGTTTATTGACAATAACTAAAAGAAACGGATGAATGAAAGATAATAAATTAGTAGGAAAGAAAGTGTTCTTTGTAATTCCATTTTGTATGCAAATGTCAGCAAAGTAAGCTGCCAAAACTCATTGATAAACATGTATTTATTCTTTTGTACAATTCTACAGAAATACGTAAAATGAATAGCTATCAGCGTTTTTTTTTTTTTTTTTTCATTTCTTTTGCAAGTTAGTTTACGCATGGATTTATCTTTGAAAGTGATAATTGGAAGACTGAAATAAATACTTAAAGTTCTTGAAATGCTTAGTGAATATTAGGTGACAATTTGAAGTTCTGCCGGCAAGCATGTTTTCACTTGAAGAGTTGGTTGTTTGTCATTAGGAAGAAATGAGAAAGAAGAAAGCAAAGAAAGACTTCCACGAAAGTAAAGAGACATTTTGAATGAATCTCTAATTCTCTAGTTGGTACGTGT